TACCGTCACTCACACTCTCTCTCTCTCTCTCTCTCTCTCTCTCTTTGGGACCTACAGACAGTACCCATGTCCGGAGACAATTACATAAAACTTTATTTATTTAAATTAGTATTAATCTCTTTTTTTTTTACCTTAACGATCAATGCCGTTTCATTATATAACCTATGCATATCTATTTGATAAATACATATATGTTGCATATACTTACTTTTTAGATTTTACACCGCGGGTTTCTGTAATGTTGAACACTTCGCTTTGAGAAAAAAAATCGGAAACTATTAATACAGTTACTTTAGGTAGGTTATCCGATTGTGCTTGAATCCGATTTGATTTTTTCGAGATATAATTACCGATATTGCAAATATAAATAATAATTGTAATTATTTAAAGAAAATCAATCTATCTCATAAAATATTTGAAAGTATCGAATTCTGACGTCATATATGGAGGAAAACATGGAGGTAACATCAAATTATACGATTTTTTGCAATTTGCTTGTACTTGCGGTTGTGTTGGCTATTGCAACTCGTTTGAAACTTGCGGTTGGCTATTACATATGGTGGATTTTAGCAACCAATCAAAAGTTGCAACCACATTGTCGTAACTCTTATTATAAGAACACTAACAGAAAAGACTATGGAGACCTCTGTTGGAATTTAATAAAAAATGAATTTTATATCAAACTCTATACATATATTAAATTCTATGTATATTAAACTTTTTCGCACGAAAGGATGTCACAAAAAAACTTTTAAATGATTTCTCTGATTCAGAAACTAGCTAAATAGAGGTGTTTTGTTCATCGAGATTTTTTAATCAAAAACATATTATAAATTGAAACAGATTAATTGACAACTTTTTTTTTTATAAATCATTCGGGATTTTTTTTATTTAATATTATTGACTCGCTAATAAACGACTAGATTCAATTAAATAAGACGCAAATGTATGAATGATAAAATGGCGGTTTTTTAAATTTTTAAACAAGTATTTTTTTTAAGTTTTTACTAGCCGCCATAATAGATTCCTCTTACTACTCCTCTTACTAGAATAGTTTATATATTTATGTGCAATTTAATATTCTCAAAGTCAATTTTATATTAACATTGTGTTGATGTGAAAATATTTAACAAACGATATTGGTTGCGTTCAGCAGAGAAAGCAGCTTTGCAACTGTTGTAAAATTCTTCAATGGTTGGTTTATATATTTAGATTTGTAAAGAATCAAAAAGCAAGGTATTGAAGAATTTTGAACAACAGCTGCAAAGCTACTTTCTCTGCTGAACGCAGTCATTAATGATATATCTTTCGTTCAAATTATACATCAAAATATTGATATATAATTCAAATGAAACAATAGAAGTAAAAATAAACAATAATAACTAAAACAGAAAGAGATTCTAAAAAAAAACCAACAAATAACATGGATAATGAGAATTAGCGTGGCTAATAAGCACAAATTTCGTAAATTAAAAATGATTATAGACTTTTATAATTTATTTTATGATTATGATTGACGTCTTTTATATTTAGATTGAACGTTTCAACTCTTTTTGGAGTCTCCTCAGCAATGCAGATACAAATATTTTTATATTTATTTGTATCTGCCTTGCTGAAGAGGACTGAAAAGAGGATTAAAATGTTCAATCTAAATAAAAAGACGTAAATCTAAAAAGTAATCTTTTTTAATCTACAAATCTTGCGCTTGTTAGCCGCGCTGGCTCTCATTAGCCTTGTTTGTCGGTTTTTTGTACTTTGAAACAATATAGATATGATAAAAATGATTAATTTCTGTTTCTTAAACAAAACTTATATATAATATAAATACGATTTATAAAATATATTACAAAGTTAATTTTTATAAATTATAATTTACCAAGATGCTTTGGTTAATTTAGACCTTGAATCTGCAAAATCAATAAATATAGAATAAGAACAATAAAATAGAATAAGAGAATAATTCTCGATTATATTAAATATATTTAAGAAAAGTAAGAGATACGCATGGAAAAATTGGGTATGGTACAACCGTAGGATTCAATTAAAACAATAACAAATACATATATTTCTCGAAATGTGATACAATAGAGGTTTTCTTGTGTTTGTGGTCATATCTAATTTTTCTCATATTTTTCATATTTTTTTTATTTAAGTGGATCGGACGATTATTTAACGAAGACGCGGCGGTGTCCTCTATCTCATTTTCTTACCGTTCTATTTGGAGCAAAGCTGGCGGCCGCGTCTGTCTCTCGCGCTGCTATATAACTCTCTACTATTTTATTTATTACTATTTTTATTTATCGAATTACGATGTGTGTCAATCATGCTAACGCGCTTCTTATAGGCCAATAACTTGTGCCGAGATCCACGTCATATCGCACACCCCGCATCATTAATAGCACTGGAAAAATAATCGAGAAGAAGATTAATTAATTCAGTTTCACGAATACAAGCGACTTTCGACTTGGTTGAAAACATTCTCTCTCGACGACTCGAAGTTATTTTCAAAATTTAAAATTCGTGTTGCGAATAAACGGTATGCCTGATAAAGGATCATTTTTCTTGTCTAAAAATCCATAAAATTCGGTATTGCCCTTAACGACGACGAGTGTGCGTGACAAGCAGAACACATACGATCTGATATTGGCTCGTGTTAAACTTGAAATAGATATCGTAGATAACTGAAAAACTTCCTTGTAGTCTACGTTATACGCTTTAAAGAATAACGTGAGAAACTTCGTATACAATCAAACGCGAAATTCTGTTTTCCGCTACTTACGCTTTTTCGCACGCAAATTACCACGCTACTCTCTTCCGTTTAATTCATTGCGTCGGAATAACAATAAGCCATGCAGTAGCTATTTCATCAGATAATGTATAATATGATTTATTGTCGAAAAATAAAATTTTATGCCGCTATTTTATTAAAATTATATTGCGATACTATCGGGCGAAGACGTTCGCTAAATCTACCGATGCAAGATATTGATTTAACAATTCATTTCACGCGGAACTCTTCGTCATTTACGTAGCATTTTTCTGTTAGGGTGTAATCGTGAAGAATTGCAGTCGGACGAATTCACGCGACTTTTGGCAAATCACTTGAACAATTATAAAGCATCGAATAATTGGATTCACTGCGCTCGCGCATGAACATATGTATAACGATCTGTTGGCAACAGAAATCCTACGATTCCGACAAAATTATATAATTACGTATGTATTTAATTTTATTCGTATTATATAAAAAACGTATGAAAAATAATTAACACGGTAAATAACATCCTCGAAAAATTTGAAGAACATCGCGAGGCTAAAATTATATTTTTCGCGCGCGGTCGACGAAGTTGTCCTGTGATATTAAAAACGGATTTGCTGCTGATTAAAGTTGAATTCCATTACATCGATTCTCTTATCCTCTCAGCCGATAAAATGATGTCGTATATACAGAACGTCGATGTTTCGCGTTTGCGCATCGAGTGTCTCTCTCGTACGATTGAAAGAAAAACGAGACTATTACGTATCGTTGGTACATAAATCTTGAACGAAAGTAAGAAGAGCTTCACCCTCTCTGGCGTTTATAATTATTTAAAAAATCATCAATCATGGCGATTGGCTCACGTAGTTCTGATTTACTCGTCCACGTTGCTGAAAACGCACGATACATCGGTCGCTATTATTGTCACTAAATTTTGCAACGAGCAGGAATCGCTCTCATTCGAGGTGTCGTTCAATCTCGCGTTGATCTGTACAATATAGATTCTCTTTCTGCAGCTATATATTTTATAGCTATTTCGTAAAAAGCGCATATCTTCTCATCGGTTCCACTTTTCGCTCTCTCGTTCGCCATCACCGATTCTCACGATGATGGAAAAATAAACATCTAAAAACTTAAAAAGAAGAGGGGGGAGGATAAGGGCCAGATGCACGCGAGCCTGTGCAGCTAGCTTACATTTAAGCACGATGGTCGTCCCTTCGTGTCGTGTACAATGTAATATTTTCTTTTACTTTTACGACAACGATTAACCCCGCCAATGCACCCATCTGTACTGGGAGGCTACGCGATCCGATCGCCGGACACGGTTCGTTTCGTATCGTTTCGTTTGTCTCAAATTCCACGTTGATTAACCCCGCGTCGAAGACACAGCTTTCGTAACCGTCGCTCGTCAGAATGACACAATGCGTCTTAAAATATATTTTACAAGAGGATGTCCTGTACAAAAGTTTGTTCGCTACGCAACAAATGATATATCTCGGGATGGGCCCGTCCATCGTTCATGCCCCCCCGAACCGCCGAGCCGTTTGGCCAGCGGGCGATATTACGAAAGAAGAAAAGGGATAGAGTCGCGTCGCGACGCCTTTCGCGCACTCCAAGTGCACTCCTCGCGTGGCCGGATTCATTCGCTATTCGCTAAAAGAGAGATAGAGATAGATTGGTAGGTAGAAGAGAGAAAGAGAGAGAAAAGAAACGATGAAAACGAAACACGTACATCATCTATCTTACGATTAAAAACAACTAGAATCACTTGTGTACCATCACCACGTGGGATACGCTACAGTAATTAACGCATTCTCGGAGAACCAGGATCAATTAATCCGTGCGCAGAAAAGCGTCGTGTTCTCCCAACCTCGCCTCCGCTCCATGTCGACCTAACAATATAGCTCTTTACGTGTGGCAGTGCTCAGCGCCGACGAGATTCGTCTTTTCTGAAGCCGAAGAAGTACGATTTCATATACTTTTACATCTTATAGCTTATTCTGGTAACATTTCAATCCCATTGTATGGCTCGCTGTGTAAATCTAGAAGACTCGAATCCTAGGAAAATCATCGTGTCTCGTCGTGCGCTGCATGCGCAGATTTATTACGTGTTAACGAACGCATCTCCTTCCTCAAACGCGTAATCAGTGTGTACTGTGTGTGTATTTATATATATATATATAATAT